AACCTTGAACACGTCGATCCTGAAGCGCAGGACGTCCTCCCGGGGCCGGGTGGTGATGAAAGCAGAGCTGGTGTCATCCGACCTCCCATCAACCAGGCACCTGGGGTGGGACAGGGGGGTCAGCATCCCGGCATGTTCCCCCCCAGCACCACCGCCAGCGGGTCCCCAGGGCTCACCCGTTGAAGTCGATGATGGCGTAGTGGGGTGAGGAGTCGGTGCAAAAAAAAACGCAGCTGTCCACGAACAACCGCAGCGGCACGTGGCTCTCAGTGCCCACCTCCGCTTGGATGTTGAGGATATCGCCCAGTTGGAAACCGGTGAAGGGTCTCTCGGCGCTCCAGTCCTCTGCAAGGCAGCGCCGGGGTGACAAAGGCGGGGGTGGCTCCGGCTGTCCCCGAGCTCCCGTGGGACCAGAGCCAAGCTCAGCCCAAAAGCAGGAGCGCTGGCGTTTGCCGTGGGGTGGGTTAGCTTCCCCAGTGGGGTTCTGGGTTCCTCCGCACTGGGAAAAGGGTGGAAAATCCCCGTCCGCAGGTCGGGATGGCTTCCCACCTACCGTTCATGAGGCGGAGGGAGAACACCAGCCTCTCCTCTGCCGACAGCGTGGAGCTGAAGGGAGCCCAGGTGGGCCGGATGGCGTTGCTGCTCACATTCTCCCTCCTGGGCAAGGACCACCGCGCGTCAGGATGCGGCCCCATGCTGGTCCCTGGGGACCGGGGTGGGAGGTACCGAGGACAGGGACCCCTTACCTGGGGTAGTGGCACTCGATGGGGATGACGGCTGGGTTGCTGCGGATGATGACGGGGTTGCTGGCGGGGCTGGGGTCGTAGTTGAGGAGCGTGCGGTAGATGAGGGAATCTGGTGTGATCTGGGCAGAAAAGCATTGAGAAGCCATCAGAGAGGCCACCCCACCTCCCATCACCACCGAGCCATCCTTTCCCATTTCCCAGCCGGGAAATGCTGGAGAAATCCAAAGAAAGGGGGAAAAAGCTGGGGAAAAGAGGGTGAAGAAGGAGCTCCGCTCTGTTCTCAGCGAGTTAA